GTTTACGCAGGCCAAAGCCGATGGTTTCGCTAGGTACACCGCCGCGGTGTACGCATCCACTTCGTTAAAAATAGTACCAATCATTTATCATTGAACTTGATTATTGAATTTTTAAATCACACCAAAATAGTAGTACTGTGACTAGTAACACCGGACACCGACAATATCTGCTCACTGATTATTAGTACACTCACTAAACTGATATAATAAAGGCACTTTAATTTAGCCTAGTTTTAGGCCATACATATCCATTCCATAGGATGGGGGGGGGGGATAAAAAAAATGTACAAAAAAAGAAAAAGTCCCCCCAAAAATCTTTACAACTAGATTTTTTTTTTTTTAAGTACTACTAACAGTAACAGCATGAACAACTTTACAGAACAAAAACGAAAAGTCTAAAAAAAAGCTATAATTTATACCTTTTTCATTTAAGTATATTATGCTAAAATTGCCTTCTTATTAATAATTCCTTGGGTAATCTACCACTTGAACGTCTGCCAAGAAAAAATCCAGTTTTTCCGGTTGGAAGGGCTATGTAAACAACTATTCTTGTAACATTGGAGTCTGTTAATATTTTTGCTTCCGTTTAGAGGCTATAAAGTTATATAGCACAATACTAATACATTTAAATACTTATTACTGCCAAGCTACCGATATGCCAGGAAGAAAAAGAGACAACAATTTTTTTTTTTGATCCAGATGACGCGGATGTCCACACACAGACTGTGGAAAACGTGAATGCTCAGAATCAGAAAGCATAAACAGTTTGGCACAAGAAGCGCCGGTGATCTTTCCCCTTCATATTTACGTGGATTCATGTACCACAACCGTTTTCGTGGAAATTATATTTTTTTTAAACTTCATTGTCAACTTGGGGGATAACTATGCATAATTCCATTTTCACACATTATCTTCTATTTAAAATTTTTTTTATAGTTTTTCTATTTTAAAAAAAATTTCTATTATAATGGGAATAAATACGTATAACCAATGTCAATAAAAAATAATATAAGAATAGTTGTTTAAATAGCCCTTCCAACCGGAGCAGCTGGATTTTTTCTTGGCCGACGCTCAAGTGGTAGATTACCATTCCTTGGCCTTGACCCAAACTAGAACTAGAGTAATTTTTAATTTTGCACAGTAAAATAGATTTGAATGATAATATGCAATTTGCAAATGGGCAAATGAGATCTCCACGCTTGTAACTTTATCTGATAGATTATCTACATGTTGGGATTTAGGAAAGAAGATTTAATTTAAATTGAGGTAGAAATTGCCTTCATTGCCTCAAAGACAGTGAAAGTGAAACTTTTAAAGTTTTGTTGGTGCAACTGTTTTAGATTGTACTTCTTTGTCAAAATAGCCTGAACGACTTCAAGTACTAAGACTTAAATGTCTTTTTTGCAAAATGCATCATATTGATGGAGCATCAATAATTCCTGGGTATTTGGTCAGCTACTCACTTTAAGTGAGAAACTTCCCCAGATGCATGCTTATTCCAACTTTCTATTTATTCAAATTAGGTTCTCCCACTAAATTTGAAGTTTCCAGCTCAAGTAAAATGAATTTTTTTTAAAGAATACAATATAATAACATATAATTCTTACTTAAGGCATGCCTGCTAAATATGCATAATGACTTATGTATTCATTATTAGTGATTTATCTGTATTGATTTATTTAACAGAAATTAAACGAACATTTGCTGAACTTACTCTGCAGTTCTTGCAAAGAATTACAAAAAAGGATTTATAAATATTTGCTACTACTACTTCAAGTAGCCACTACTACCAGTGCTACTGTAAAGATTCCCTGTTAAAACTATTGATATTTTATATAGATAGTAGATACTGGTCAAACCTCGCTAAGAACACTAAGATTCTATTTACATTCGAAAGATAGAGCTAGAGGTCATTTTGAACAGACCAATATGATTTAACTCTTTCCATGCTGATTGATGATATATCATCGATTTGAATGGCAGTGCTTGCGCCAGAAGACGATTTATTGTCAAAATAATTTATGTAGTTTATTTATTTCATTGCCTGCAGCTATCATTCTGACTTTTTATGTATAAATTTTACATATTTTTTCTAATAATTTTGACTTTTGTTTTCAATTTGTGTTAAAACTTGTAAACAAAGCAACAAAAATAAAGTGTTTGACATCTGTATTATGATTCATGGCCACCAACCCTTCATTTTTATTAGAATTAGGCCTACTAATAAAAATGAAGTGTCCCTGCTCATGACTAATTATAATTTATATTATTATTCTTAATTTATTAATTGAATGTAATGATTTTGTGTGATTTAATTTTTAATGAATTTCTTTGAGAATACTAATAGGCCTAATAGTATTATTTTTGCCAAAATTATTTGGGAAAATTAATTTTTACATCTTAATCCATCAATTCAAACAGAAATTTGTTATACATAAAAGAACACTTTAGAGATCTATACAGAGCAGACAGTAAAAATGTTACAGAATTGTACAAGTCTATGATGTCCCAGCTTGAGTCTATGATAAAAGTAAGTTCTATAAATAATTGAAATGATGAAATAAGAACCTTCATTTCATTGTAAAGTTTAAATACCAAATTTTTCAACTAAATAAGCTTATAGTTATAGTAAGCATCTGCCATCAAAATCCAACATTACTTAATTCCTACTATACAAAATCAGGCCAAGTCAAGGGTTCATTGGCTTGTCCAAATTTCTAAATTGCCTTCAAGGATACAAAATAGGTTAAGAACTGCTGCTTATAACTTTTTATTGATTATTTTCTTTGCAAAATAAAAATTGTTAGATGCTTAGGTAAGATTTCCTAAGCATTTGTTGGCAATAATGAATTTTAAGGGGTTATTCTCCCATTTTAAACATTATGCAGGCTTTAAAAAAAGGCTCAGTGCTGATAATTATTTCACATCTATTTTTAAAAAGTGTCAAATATGATCATATAATTCCAATTTTTTATTTTGAATGCAAAACATATTTAGACATTAATTTATATTAATAAGTCAGCT